TACATTACTTTGTTGATTATTTATTGGGCTGCTCCCCACAGGACTGGCAGTTTGAAATCATCACGAACCACTCCACAGGAGCAGTTCATCTGTCCTATAGGGTTCGCTGAGTCATCATTGACTAGATGGCAGTGAGCTTGTTTTTTTGTTTCTCTATATAGCAGCGGTTCTCAACCTGTGAGTCATGATCCCTTTGGGGGTTGAACGGCCCTTTCACAGAAGTCGCCCGATTCACAACAGTAGCAAAGTGACAGTTATGAAGTAGCAACAAGAATAATTTTATGGTTGGGGGGTCACCACAACATGAAGAACTGTATTAAAGGGTTGTGGCATTAAGTTTGAGAACCACTGCTATATAGGATGCCTCTTCAAATGTGTCAATCTTCTCTACCACATATCAATTAATTCTATCTCTACATAACCTGCTTATGGGGGGAGGGGAATCACCTCGACACCCTCACTCCTGACCTGCTGTAGAGTCTCATTATCCCTTTGGGCTCAATATTTCAACAGTACACTACCCACTCTCCTGCACCAATCTTTTACCAACCAGGAAGCTCAGTAAGCTTCTGTCCAGAGCTTATTATCGGGATCTTATTTATTATTCATTACATAGCCATGATTGATTTGATTGCCCATGTAGCTGAACTAAACCTTCAGCCCCTCTTAAGAGGTGGGGGTGGGGGTATCTCATGGTCGAGTCTTTCTGCCTGACCATTTCACTAGCAATGCCCTCAGGTGGTCTTCATTGATGGCAAAAACTGTAATCACCTGGGAAATCCCAAACCTTAAGAGGTCAAAACCCAGATTTTTTTGAGTAAATGTCACAATAAATCCACAACCGCTCTTCCTAATAGCTTAATCCTTCCAGGGAATTAGATGAGGTGTAAAATTCACCCAGTCAGTTGTTTTAGCATCTTTTAGAATCAGAACAGTATTTCCTAGTCTTTTAAGATACAAAGATGAATAAGGCAGACCCTTCAACTTAAGAAGCTTAAGAACTCTGTATAAGGTACAGTAAGAGTTATAAGAACAAAGTAAAAAGCTTAACTAAGCAAGAAAAATTACTAAATAAAAATATAGCCTTAATTCTGCATAAAAACTAGATGTGTTTGTTGTGAGGAGTGCCTACACATGCATAGTTTCATTACCACCACATTTGCAAAAACCCTAACTAAGATATTCTAGAATCCTCATGCACACTGCATGGTAGTTGAAGCACATAGTTCTCTACATGGTAAAACTGAACTTCTGCCCAACAGCAGAAAGCTTAACAAAGAAACCCTTGCCTACAACCATTTCTCAGAGAGCAAACGAAGCAACAGAAACAATAAAGAATTATCCATTTCTTTAGGCTAGAAATTAAGATATATTAAATTTATTCAACAATTGATATTTTTTTCCAGTTTCACTATCACTGGAAGGCTAAAAAAAAAAATCCACTTACTGTATATACTCATGTATAAGCTGAGGGTTTTCACGACTTTTTTTTTCATTTTACTTAATTTATGCTTTATTTCAAATGGTTTTATTAATTTCCTTCTTTTGATCATGTTTTTTTCCCCTTTTTAAAAATCATTTTATTGGGCGCTTGTACAACTCATCACAATCCACACATACATCCATTGTGTCAAGCACATTTGTACATTTGTTACCATCATCATTTTCAAAACATTTACTTTCTACTTGAGCCCTTGGTTATCAGCTCACTTCTTCCCCTCTCTCCCCCACCCTCACTCCTCCCCTAAAACTTGATAACTTATAAATTATTACTTTTTATGTCTTACATTGACCTATGTTTCCCTTCACCCACTTTTCTGTTGTCCGTCCCCCAGGGAGGGGGTTATATGTAGATCATTGTGATCAGTCCCTCTTTCTACCCCAGCTTCCCCTGCCCCTCCTGGTATCTCTATTCTCATTGGTCCTGAAGGGTTTATCTGCCCTGGATTCCCTGTGCTTCCAGCTCTTATCTGTACCAGTGTACATCCCCTGGTCTAGCCGGATTTGTATGGTAGAACTGAGTTGTAGGGGAAGGGAGGTTAGAAAACATTAAAGAACTAGAGGAAAGTTGTATGTTACATCGTTGCCATACTGTACCCTGACTGACTCGACTCCTCCCCACGACCCTTCTGTAAGGGGATGTCCAGTTGCCTACAGATGGACTTTGGGTCTCCACTCCGCACCCCCCCCCCATTCACAATATGATTTTCTGTTCGTTGATGCCTGATACCTGATCCTATTGACACCTTGTGATTACACAGGCTGGTATGCTTCTTCCATGCAGTTTTTGTGGTAAAATGAGGTGCCTCAGCTGATATTCCGGTCGGCTTATACTGGAGTATATACGGTACATCTTGTACAATTCTTTGTCTACCCCATGCTTTCACATCTTTTCAAAGTGAATCCATGATTCTAAATATTTGGGGGTTTTGTTTTTACTTTTTCCCTCCCCATCATTTCAGGTCATTTTAGGTATTCTCAAGTTTTTACTGACAGTTATCTTACATAAACCAAGTACAATATTTTCAACTATATTACTCTATGATACTATTTAATTCTTTTTTTTTTTTCTTCAAGAAATCAACTGGTCCCTTAATTTACAGGGTATGTTATGGTTGGCAATATAACCTAGATCCTTAAAAATAAAATCTCGTTGAATAAAGATTTTTCAAATTGTTTGTTTTTATTAATTACCATTTCAAGGTAAAGTTGAATAATACACTAATTGGAATTTGCTTTCATGGAATGAGGAATGAGGGTGGAGTGAACAAGTGAAGGAAGGCAAGTTTAGCCAGGAGCTGAACATTGTTGAAGGGTTATCAGTACATGGAGATAAGCTGTACTGGTCCTTTCTTCTGCATATTTGAAACTAATCATCAAAATGCTTACCCAAAATAAAGTCCTATGAAGATGACTCCTTGGTAATCCGATTTTCTTTCACTGCCTTGTCACTTCTGACTCATAGTAATCCTATAGGACAGCGTACACTGCCCCTCTAGGTTTCCAAGACTAAAATCTTTATGGAAGTAGCAAGCGTCATCTTCCTCTCAAGGAGGTGGTTTCAAACTGCTATGCCACCAGAGCTCAAATTGATGAAAAAAGGCAGATGCCCCATAAAGGTGCTCTCAGTCAAAATTTGGGACATGTTGAACATCTAAAAGAAAAAGGACTATAAAATAACTACAGCTGGTTTAAACCGACCAAATACCAAGAAACCCATGAAAAACATTAGCCAGCAGACAGAATCATATTCTTAAAAATTAACATTTGCTACCTCCAGTGGAGTAATTCATTTTAGTCAAGCTTTATCAAAAAGATGACTCATCAACCACATGAAAGGTTACTGGGAAAAACAAGCTATCAAACCAGTAACCTTTGCAATGAAGAGATCCAGTAGCCACCACTCCAATCAAGTCATCAAATTTAGCCATCACTGGTTAAACCAGGAGGATCTCTGAAAGCTTAAAGGTTATGCCCTGGGTTACAATCACAAGGTCAGCTGTTCAAAACCAACAATCACTCCCGAAGGAAAAAGATGGGGCTTTCTACTCCATTAAAAGTTTACAGTCTCAGAAACTCACAAGGGCAGTGCTACCCTGTCCTATGAAGGCAACCACTCCATGGCAGTGAGTCTGGTTAACCCAATGATAACTGGATAATCTAGCATCAAATGATGTTACATGTAATCAGCATTGTGCCTTTTGAAGCAATGCAAAATGAAGTACAAATATTACCTAAGTGTTCTCTACAAAAATATCTTACTTGGGGGAAGGGAGTATGAAGCTAAATCTTATCATTATCAAGGCTTTGCTAAGAACCAACTATGAATTCTGGAAACTTTCAGTGAAACAGCGGCACATTATTATGATTCCTTGACTACCAGATGAAAAAGCACTAGTCCAGAAAAACTGTAGGCAGTTTTGACTTAACAATTCCAAGACTCGGCACTCTTGGATCTTCTAACAGCATGTAAACAAATCCTGTGGAAGATTTCAGGGCTGAAACCAGTCCATGAGCAAAACCTGCCCACCACGATGCCCAGACTACTAAGAAAACTCCTGTTTTGCCTCCTTTTAAAGCCGAGGCATTAAAAGCTGTGAACTTGAAATATGAAAACCCAAGTGTATTTCGTTGCTGTAGCAATGGGAACTTCCAGAAAACTGAAATTTCGTGGCTGGCTGGTTCCACTTGGGGTGGGGGTGGAGTGAGTAGTATGTACCTAAAAACACCAGGATCTGTAAAACAACATTTCACGACACCTTGCATAAAATCAAGTTTCCTATTCAACAATGGAAAATGCTAAAAAATTCTGAACACAAACAAATAACATTTATTGAAAACCTTGAACTTTGAAAGGTGGACATGTCATGTGTCTAGTACTAAAACAGATGTTTTTATTTACAGGGGCTGAAACAAGGCTACTCGTTCCCGATTTATCAAACCAGAAAAGTGTCCCTGGAAAAAACGAAACCTGGACATACAAGGGAGAAAAAGCAGCCGGAGAGCCACAAAAGTCCCTTAAACCTCAGCATGACCATGCTCTTTCGTCTCGAAGACTGCTTCTCTCCATTCGATCTCTCAACCGCTCTCCGCTGGGCTCAATATTATTGTGGAGAAAGGGTAGGGGGAACGTTGTCAGATTTTTCAAAACCGACGAGTACACGTGAAAATCAATTCCTAGCCACCTAACCCCAAAACGATACCACAGGAAGGCATCCCATCTCGAGTATGCCCATGAATCTAAAAATGGGACGGAACAGCCTTTCAGTTACTGTCTAGATCAAGTATTGGCTGGTGTTATCACCTGAAACCGAGAAGATAAAAAGAACTCAAAGTCTCCCACGCGGCTACTGCTCTCCATGCCCACCATTTTTCCGAACCCCGTCTCCGGGGCTCACTGGACCCCTGTTTCCTTTCTTAGGCGAACATGGCTGAATACTCGGACGAACAGAGGCGCGGAGACGAGGTCGCCACGAGGCCCCACCACCCTCTTTCCTCACCTGTTCCGTGGCTGCGTCTCCTGACATGGCCTCAGCTGGTCCGGACGTGAGTACTGGCCCGCGATGGGAAGCTAGAAAAGAAAAATTAAACTAAAACCCACCCTCAAGCCAGTAAAGTTACCCCTCGCCCAACGGAGCCAGACGGCCAACACCAATCGCCACCGCCCACTCAGATATGAATTAAAATGGCTGCGCCCCTCCTGGCGGCGGCGGCGGCGGCGACTCCGGTATTAACTTCCGGGGCAACGGGCGGAGTTAAGGCGGCCTCTCCGGGTACTCAGTGCGCAGACTCAGGGCAGCGCCCGGTGCCTGAGCTGACGTCTCGGTCTGGGGCGGGGAGGTTGTCACCGAGCTGCGTGTAACCAGCTAGGAGGCGGGAAACGGTTTTGTCAGGGCCTTCGCGCGCCTTTTGGAATTGAATTGCCGCGCCTATTTCCGCTCCCGTGAAGCTCAGCTCCCAGGAAAATGGCTCGTTGTAGGGTCGCCCTGCGGGCACTGTCCGTAGCGTTGGACTGCTAACCCTAAGGTTCCCTCGGAAACCTGACGTTCAAGGTCACTCTGAGTCGGAACCGGCTGTGTGCCGGTAGGGTTGACTTTGGTGGCGGCGTTAGGTGAGCGCTCAGCTGCAGACGGGAAGGTGAGTGGTTGCATCTCGCCGTGTCAGAACGACGGGGCAATCAGCCGGCTTCTTACAGCGGAGCTCAGCCTTCCTCCTGCCGCGACCCTTTCAGACAGTTCCTCATGTGGTGGTGACCCCCAACCATAACATTATGTCCGTTGCTACTTCATCACTGTCATTTTGCTCCTGTGATGAATCGGGCGACCCCTGTGAAAGGGTTGTTCGACCCCCAAAAGGGTTGCGACCTTAAGAGATTTCAGTCTTTGAAACCCGACTCCTCAGCTTTTTAGAGTCGTTGTGAATGGATTGTGCTGAACGGGCTTGCTTGGGCCCATTCAGTGAGCAATGCTGAGCCTCTTTAGGTAATAAGAAGTCCTTCAAGTATTTCTGTGGAGTCGTCTACTGTGTTGGGCTACTAACCGCAAGATCACCAGTTCGAAATCACCAGTCAATTTTCAAACACACAGGGGCAGTTCTACCCTGCCCTATGAGTTGGAATTGACTGATGGTAGTGTTTTTTGTTGGTGAGTTGGTTTTTTTGGGGGGGTTTTTTTCTCAGGCTAATGCTGTGTAGCTTCTCAGGCGAGCATGTGTTTATTCCATCACCATCTGCTGTGATGTGGAAGTCAGATTCGTGGGTTTTTTTGATAGATGGATTTTATTTACAAACACTGAAAACACCATTTGCAATGAGGAAACATTCCAAATTTTTACTCATAAAATTAATTGAAATGGCAAAGGCAGAGTTACAAAGCCACACGTCCATCGCTGAACAAGAGGGAAACGAAACGTTCCGGAAGCATCTTGAGGAAAGTTCTCAAGAAACACGCATCAGGCCAGACATCTCCCACTCAGCTGTGTTCCACAGCAGCCCGTGTTCATGCCTTTTCTCAATAAGTTCTTCCTTGTATTTGCCTTTCTCTTTTCCAACCTGTCGAGATTTGGCTTGCGTTCAAGAACTTTTCTCCGATCTTTATGTAACTTCAGCCTGGTGATGGCCACCTTGCTCGGGTGAATGCCCACATGGCCAGTGGTTCCATTGACTTTCTCGCGCTGCACCCGCTCGATGTAGATGACGTACTTCTTTCTGTACACTTGGACCACCTTGCCGATTTGCTGCCCTCTGTAGTGTCCTCGAACCACCTGGACCTCATCCTCCTTGCTGATGGGCATGGAGCGCACGTCATACTTTTGCTGCAGCTCCTTGGAGAGTGGGGACGACTTCCTGCGCACGTGCGAGGGCGCATTGAAGTGGCATTTGCGGTTCTTGCTGCGGTCTGAGGTCACGAACGGGTTGAACTTCATGGTGACCTTCGGGTGTCTGGATACCTCGCCGCTCCACACGCAGCCAGATTCGTGTCTTAAGCTTGACATCTCACCCTTACACGTAGGCTCTGGAGTCAGTTCACTTCTCATTAGGGGATTTAAACTCTCCCTCAGTTTTCATTGTCTGTAAGTGGGACTAATAATGATACCTGCAATTGAAATACATGAATAATTGAAAAGGTGTTTGGAACAATACCTGCCATAGAGGTTTAATGAGATCAAGTCTCAACCAATACCATTTCCATTCAAGGATCAAATCCACCTTTCTCTCCTTCAGTGACCTAAAGGCAGAGTGAAATGTTTAACTTTTCCCATATAAGCCTGTCTTAGGCTGGATTCAGTAGAGAAACTGACACCTGTAACTATGGGGCTTTGCTGATCGGCAGAAAACCCACAGGCTGATGGCTGCAGAGAAGGGGAAATCCAAGGTCAGCAAGTCAGGCTTGTGACTGCGGGGGAGGAGGGGATGAGTCCCAGGTCAACAGGTCAGATGACAGGTCACTGGTGATCCCTAGGAACAGCAGGCAACATAGTAAGCAGCCCCTTGTCTAAAGTCTCAAGATCCAGACAACAATGAACCAGATGCAAGATCCAGATCCAACAAAATTTGAACAAGTTTTCTACGAAGGTTAGGTCAAACTCCTGAGGAAATTTCCTTTCAATCGCATCAGGGCTGTGACCTGAGTAAGGGTGTTTGGTGCCACCCTAATCTTTCAGCTGTTTAGCTGCTCCTGGAACTCATCATGGTGTTGATTGCATTGTGCTAGATCCCATCAGAGGGGCTTTCTTAGGCTTTAACTGCCAAACCACTAGGAATCCTGGCCCAGCCAAGTTGATGCGAAACCTAACACAATACCTGATACTTTTCAGTCTCCTTGTAGTCTATTCATCTTTCCACCTGCTAATTCTTAACCCTCCCAAATAATCAGCTACATGAGCAAGTGATATATTCTCATATCGAAGACATCATCTTGACATGGAGTGTCAGTAAAATGATGTTAATGTACAGTTGCCGATTTAGAAAGGCATCCAGGATGTTAATTGAAAAAGCAGAACACAAAACAGTATGCAAGGCATAGAATGGATAGTGTATGTATATTTTGATTCTAACTGCTGGCAAAACCATGTATGCAGAATAGACTGCTCCAAATAGTTTTTAAGTTTGTGGCCTTTTGAAAGCATATTGCCAGGCCTGTCTGCTAAAGGGCCTCTTGGATGGTATTATACAGGGCAGGAAAGAGCCAGGGAAAGGAGGAAACTTTGCAATGGTAAGGAACCATCCCAGTAGGGAGAAAGAAACCAGAGCAAGGAAGGTTTGTAAAGACAGAAGTGAACCAGGGGGGACATCCTGAAAAGTATTGATGGTCCTTAGAGAGAGATGAAACAATGGAATGTGTCAAGCAAATGGAGTTCACTCTTGAGTTTACTGTTGTTAAATAAGGAAAGGACAAATAAAGCATACAGGACTTATGGAACCAGTTATACTGTATGCACACTAAACACCCCCACTACACACATACCCACTCCTACTAAAAAAGCAAGCCTACAACCTTGGAGTTGATTTCAACTCATAGCAACCTTGTATGACACAGTAAAACTGACCGCAAGGCTATAAATCTTTTTTGTTCTCCTTTCTAATTTTATTTTTTAAACAATTGTATTCAGGTATAATTAACATACAACTCCATAGTCCAATCATTCATATATCTATCTATCTATCTATCTATCTATCTATCTATCTATCTATCTATCTATCTATCTATCTATCTATATCTGTATTAACCAAATTGTTCAAGCTGAAATGCCAGGCGGGGCTCATAGTGCAATCATATTAAGAAAGGCTTGCAATCACCACAATCAACTGGTCACAAAAAGGCAGAGCGTGAAAACAGCAAATTGATGTTCCTGAGTTGTTGATTATTGGGCACCCTCAAAGCATTAGGTCCAAACGCACCCAAAGTCCAATGACCATCAATTCCCTAACCTTGGGGTGGCGATTGTCTACTACTCCCACTAGGGCATTTTGGCTTCAAGTTCAAGAGTATATTCCAGTTCCTTAGTTCTGCTCTAAGTGAATTTAAGGTAAAATCCAATTGGCTTATTGGAGTTTACAACTTGAGTCCTTCTAGTGTGATCTATTAAGTGTGGTGAGTACTTAGAAAGGACAGAATTTAATGTCCCAGTTGTCTATAGCATTTTGCATGGTTCACCAGGAGCTGGTTAGAAACTAGGTCAAAAGTGCTTGGTTAAGCACTTTTCTCAATGGTGGAAGCCTCACCCAGTTTCCCCATCATCAGAAGTGTAATTGCCTTCTCCGGTACAGACTTGTTCCCCACTCCTCTTGATTCACTAATTACTCTTGTAGGATTGTCTGTTGGTGACTGTAGAACACTATTATATGGCAGTGTTATATTAATTGATCTTCTCCCTCTCCCCACAAATGAGAAACTGACCCCATCTGGAGTGAGGCCACCTCTCTTGAGGTGGTTTTTAAGTTATTCTACTAAGGGTGTTTTTTTTTAAAAATCATCTTATTGGGGGCTTATACAACTCTTATCCCAATCCATACATCCATCCATTGTGTCAAGCGCATTTGTACATTTGTTGCCATCATCATTCTCAAAACATTTGCTTTCTACTTGAGCCCTTGGTATCAGCTCCTCATTTTTCCCCTCCCTCCCTGTTTCCCCCTCCCTCATGAATGGGTTATTTTTAATAAAGATATTCTATAACATCAACAAAAAACTCCAATCCCCAACAAAACGACACCAAAAAACTCTTTGTCCAAAAGAAAACAGAAAATAATAAAAACTAGAACAAATTTTAAATTAGTCAAAAGGGAAAACAAATGACAAGGTGTTTAAATTTTAACATAACTACATCTCCACTAAACCAGCAAGACTATTTATACCCATGGTCAATGGTTAGAGGGGTTTTGGCAGAGACTTAATCTAATTGGGGTCCCTGCCAGTGCATTTTGGACTTTCACTGTCATCCCTAGCCTTCTATATACCGAGTGCTCAGACTTTAAGCTCTAATACCATTCCCGACTTCAGTCTTGGATTTTATTATTTGCAGTCTTGAATCACACAGGATGGTGTGCTTCTTCCATGTGAAGTTAGCCAACAGCTCACTTAGATTGTTGCTTTTTTTTCAGATAAGCCTTTAAGACCCCAGATGCTA